ACCACCTACAGTGTCAGAGGATCAAACCTGGGTCTGCTTCATGCAAGGCACCCTCTATACAATCTCTCCAGACTAACACAATATTTTTATTGTAAAAATATGTTTGTTCAGTTACTTGAGTGGCTATTTCTATAGCAAACATGATTTAATAAATAGATTTAAAAATTTTAGACTTTAAATTTAACATATGTAGATGCATTTGTATTTATTTGTATTTTCAACTAGGGTAAAACATTTCAAAAGAGCATCTCATAAAACGCATATTCTGGGGAAAGGGCATTTCAGATAGAGAAGGAAGCACCAAATAAAGGGTGTTTGGAGGATCCTCCCTGGAGGGGAGATGCATGTTGAAAGTAGACTATGACTGGACTGAACATGTTTGCCACTCAATGCCTCTTTTGCTGATCACAACACCCAAAAGGAGAGAGAGAACAAAGGGGAATGCCCTGCCACAGTGGCAGGGGGGGACGGGGGTGGTGGGGGGAGGGATATTATCCTGGTGGTGGAAGATGGGCACTGGTGGAGGGATGGGTGTTTGAGCATGGTGTGACCGAGATCCAAGCACAAAAATTTGTAAATCTACAACTGTACCTCATGGTGTTTCACTAAAAAATAAATAAATAAATAAATAAAAAAAAAAGAAAGTAGACTATGGACTGAACATGTTTGCCACTCAATGCCTCTTTTGCAGACCACAACACCCAAAAGGAAAGAGAGAACAAAAGGGAATGCCCTGCCACAGAGGCAGGGTGGGATGGGGGGGATGGGGGTGGGAGGGATATTATCCATGGTGGTGGAAAATGGGCACTAGTGGAGGGATAGGTATTTGATCATTGTATAATTGAAACCCAAGCACAAAAATTTGTAAATCTACAACTGTACCTCATGGTGTTTCACTAATAAAAAAAAATAAAGTGTAATTTCAAAGAAAGAACACAAATTTCAAAAATATTGGACCAGAAAATATTATGTTTGTTAAAGTTTGTTTGTTTATTAATTGTTAAGTGATATTAAACAATTTATAAAGCATAAAAGTAAAAAAACAAATGCATATTCTCTGAGAAGTCAGACAATATGATACACAAATGGGAACAATAAGCTGTCTTAAAATATGAAATGATACACTGAAACTTTTTTTTTATTTAACAAAATTTGTCACTTCAACATCAATACAACCATACTTATAAACTACAGAGTCATTTAACTGGGATGGGAAGAGTTAAAATTGCAGTTTTTTGTTATTTTTTTTTTTGTTTTTGCTTTTTGGGTCACATTCGCGATGCACAGGGGTTACTCCTGGCTCATGCACTCAGGAATTACTCCTGGTGTTGCTCAGGGGACCATATGGGATGCTGGGAATCGAACCCGGGTCGGCCACATGCAAGGCAAATGCCCTACCCGCTGTACTATTACTCCAGCCCCCAAATAGCAAATTCTTTATCTAATAAAGTTACTTTTTGCTTAGGGAATGTTTTCTCCTGATGCACTCTTGATCTAAATCATCCTTGTGGGAGTGCAGTGGGAACATTAGAAGCATAAACAGGTTCCCAAGCAGGTAACTAAGAGGCAAGAACTCTGAGCAACCCATTCTAAGGGCTGGGCAGAGATGAGTGGGTCAGAAATCATAAGTTACGATTCAGAAAAGAACAGAAGAATCCAGAAAGCAGAGAGATACCACAGTGGGCTGGGTGCTCGCTTTGCATGCAGCCAACCTGTGTTCAGTCCCCCTCAGGAGTGAGCCTTGAGCACAGAGCCAGGAGGAACTCCTGAGCATGGTCTTCTATGACTCCCAAACTGAAAAAAATTAATAAAACAAAATAAAAAGAAAGAACAGAAGGACCCAGGCCAACCTTTTTCCTATGTGAGAAGAGGAACAGGGAACAAGGCCACCTAAACAATTAGTAAAGTAATGTGTATGGGGAACCTAAAACAGAATGTATCTACCACAAATATTCCCAGCAACAAGGGTCCCCCGCACCAAGTCCATGTTGTGCCACGCTCCCACCTCGATGTACCTCAGTGAATTGTTACAATGCAGCCAGTCCCAAAATTCCCTTCTTTTGATTTTCTCCTCCTTGTTCCAGAGGTGTGATATGTTCCTTCAAATCTTCCTGTCCAAGGCTTTCTATAGCCCTGGTCTGGGCTGAGATTTCAGGTGATAGCTTAATTTCAGTTCCTCTAGACATTAAATAATAAAATCCCCCTTTTTTTTTTTTTGCCTAAAGGTGGTTTCAGTGTGATTAAGTGAACTCCACTGTAGCATAAAAAATATGGAGTCATTTCAAACTATAAACTTCTTGCAATACTAAACGTATAATAGATGATTACTTTCTTTATTTAAAAAAATCCAAACACTAAATATCCCTTCCTCAATTGCTGAAAATTATTAGGAATTATAGCACTTTCTTTTGAATAAATCCCTTTGCTCTGGAACGATCCTATAAAAATATTCTTGTAACACCTTCTAGGTGAAGACTGTCACTTCGCACCACTATTAGTGTTTCTTCCATGACCACAGCCAAGGCTTAAACCATCATCACCCTTATAGTCTTAGGAGAAATCCTCTGCTTCCCTCTGGAGAGATGGTCTCACCACTGTGACCTCCATCTGCAATGGCAGGATGAAAATTCTGTCTGTATGCTGTAATGATGGTTTATCTTGGCACCACTGCAAGTCCAAGGGCTGGTTGAAAGGGTGAATGCATGACTACATTTCCCACTACGTGCCATCCGCCTCTTTAAAAAAATGCTCATCGCTAATTACCTCTGCAACTTTTCTGGTGGTGAGAAAGATCTTAGAATGATCTGGGTTGATGGGACTCATGCTATCCCATCCTTTTATTTGTGCTAGGACCTAAGGTCGTGGGGGCTGACATCTTCAACTTGCTGCTGGGACAAATTGGCATCCTGGGTTTTTTTTTTGTGTGTGGGGGGTCACACCTGGCGATGCACAGGATATTCCTGGCTTTGCACTCAGGAATTACTCCTGGTGGTGCTCGGAGGACCATATGGGATGCTGGAAATTGAACCTGGCTTGGCCGTGTGCAAGGCAAACGTCCTTACCTGCTGTGCTATCACTCCAGCCCCCCCCGCTCCTTTTTAAAACAAAACAAAAAAAACAGAAAAAACCTTTTTGATCTAGATTGAATTTTGATGGGCTTCCCAAATGTTTGATTCAACAGATTCCTTGAATGAGGAACACACATTTCATGCTTGAAATTCACAAAGGCCAACTATTTTGAGTTCACTGTCCTGATCTTTTGGAATTTTCACCTTCACAATGACTGCCAAGCCTGGTGAAAGAGCCCAAAGTGATGCTCATCTGTCACTTCAGTTTCAAGACTGCCTACAGAGAGTGAGCACCGTAACTATTTATTTCCCAGTAGATGCACAGACGGGACACAGCTATTTTCCATCACACTCCTCCCTGTCAACCTCACTCACCTTCGCCCCCCACAATTATGAGGACAGTGGCATCTCATTACTTGTAGGGCAAAGGAAGAAAGCAGCGTCACTGATGGGGTAATGAAATAGTTTCCCCGGGCGTTCGAAAGTGTTCGAAAGTGCCTTCGTGGGTAGGGAACCCTTCTGCCTAACACCTCCTCACTTTTTCTCCCCCCCGGTTTTATCAAAGCACCGTGATTCACAGAGTCACTGAGAGTTGGGTTTTCGACATGCAATGTTCCAGCACCCAACCCACCACCAGCATTCCCAGTTTCCTCTCCCACCCCGCCCCGCCTGCCACCTTGAGAGGCACCTTTTCATGTTTGGTTATTGAAGTTTGGGTGTCTTGGTTTCAGTGTTGTTGTTGACTTTGGTTTGGATGTTTAGCTCTGTCATTCCTTAACAGCACCCATGTACTTTGACCCTTACACACTGCCGTGCCTCCCGCTTGCTTCTCCCGGAGGACACACATACACATACTAGTTGTTTTTCCTTCACTGCCTTCTAGGGCTGGAGCGATAGCACAGCGGGTAGGGCGTTTGCCTTGTGCACAGCCCGCTCAGCCAAGCCGTGTTTTATTCCTCTGCCCCTCTCAGAGAGCCTGGTAAGCTAGCGAGAGTATCTCGCCCAACCGGCAAAGCCTGGTAAGCTACCCATAAAGTATTTGGAGATATATATATATATATATATATATATATATATATATATTCGATATGTCAAACACAGTAACAACAAGTCTCACAATTTGTTGTGAGACGTTACTGGTGCCTGCTCGAGCAAATCGATGAACAACAGGAGGACAGTGCTACGGTGTCTTCTAGCACCAAGGGTGAGCCAGGCAGCCCTCCTTTAAACCATTGCACTTCTCAGGCGGTTCCTCTACACACCCCGGATAAGTGAGTAACACCCCAGCCCGCGTTATTTACGTTAGTTATTTCTTCTTCCTCCCGCTGACTGCAGAGAAGTCAAAGGCTCATCATAGCTATAATAAAAAGCAGTGGGCGCTGCGGGTGCACGCGTGGAGGGTGCCAAAAAATGATCATTCCCCCTCCTTTGCACGCCCGCCTTTGCCAGGAAAACAGTCAAAGCGCCTAAGAGGCAGCAGCCCTGCCAGGTGACTGATTTCTCTCTCTGTCATCGGGGCTCCCAGTCATCCTCGGGTCACCCCATCGCCCTGTGGCAAAGGAACGATTCTAAGTGTCCAGAGGGCGTCTCGGGCTTGTCCAGCGTGGAGGTGGAGGGTCGCGGGGGTGGGAGGCAGAGGCCCCGGGCCGCTCCGAGAGCTGGGGTGGACACGGGGACAGGGGCGATGACCTTGACACGCCGCGGGCGGCCCGGGGCCTGGGGTGGTGTCCAGCCCGTGCGTGCAGGCGTCTGCAGCGGCGTGGGGTGGGGTGGGGAGTGGGGGGGGGACACCGGACAGCAGTGGCCCTGTCCCGGGCCGGGCTGGGCGGCGCGGGGCGTGGGAGGGGCGTGGGGGCCGCCGGCGGGGCAGCGTCCGGGGCTGGGTGGGGTGGCCCCCGGGGGACGGTTGGCAGGGGGCGCGCGGGCCCTTACCTCCTCGGTGGCCGTGGGGCAGTAGGCGACGAGCACGAGCGTGGTGAGCAGGTTGACGAGCAGGCCCAGCAGCGTGATGGAGTTGGGGGCCAGCGAGAGCGGCACCCAGCGGAGCAGCCAGGTCCAGTAGAGCTGCAGCGGCGGCTCGAGCAGCGACACGCCCGCCGCGCGGTAGCGGTGCTCCTGCAGCCGCCGCAGCTGCGCCGCGCCCAGCGGCTCCCACAGCGCCCGGAGGCCGCGCGGCGCCGGCCTGGCCCCCGCGCCCGCCGCCATGGCCGCCTGCGGGCCCCGCCGCCGCCCGAGCCGAGGCCGAGGTCACCGCGGGCCGCCGGCGGGAGGGGCGGGGCCTGCGCGCCGCGGGGGGCGGGGGCCGCCGGGGGTCCGCGAGCGCCCGCGGCGACTCCGGGGACGCGTTCCCACGGGGGCGCCCGCTCCGCCCCGCGCCGCGCGCGGGCCCGTTGCACCTGCCGCCGCCGCCCCGGCACACCCCGCGGCCCCGCCGACTGCAGAGCGTGTGCGTGTGTGTGTTTGTGTGTGTTGCGTGTGTCACGGGACGTGGCTGTTTGCACGGGGGCCTCCAAGCACTAGTCCTGATGCTGCAAGATTGAGGCACCCCGAACCTCATTAGGGCGTGTGTGTGTGTGTGTGTGTGTGTGTGTGTGTGTGTGTGTTTGTCCGGGATGTGGCTGTTTGCATGGGGGCACCAGGCACCACTCCTGATGCTGCAGGCTTGAGACACATCAAGCCTCATTAGGGCTCCTGTGTGTGTGTGTGTGTGTGTGTGTGTGTGTGTGTGTGTGTGTGTGTGTGTGTGTGTGTCCCAGGAAGTGGCTGTTTGCACAGGGGCACCAGGCAGCAGTCCTGATGCTGCAAGATTGAGGCACCCCGAGCCTCATTAGGGCGTGTGTGTGTGTGTGTGTGTGTGTGTGTGTGTGTCCCGGGACGCGGTTGTTTCCACGGCGGAGGGAGGGAAGGGGGGCATCAGGCACGGGTCCTGATGCTGCAAGATTGAGGCACCTCAAGCCTCATTAGGAGGTGTTTGTGTGTGTGTGTGTGTGTGTGTGTGTGTGTGTGTGTGTGTATGTGAGTGCGTGTGTGTGCATGTGCATGTGTGTGTGTCCCTGGATGTGGTTGTTTGCATGGCAGTACCAGGCACCAGTCCTGATGCTGCAAGCAATATTGAGAACCCTGAGCCTCATTAGAGCGTGTGTGTGTGTGTGTGTGTGTGTCCCTGGGACGTGGTTGTTTGTATGGGGCCACCCGGCACTAGTCCTGACTTGTCATTCACACACGAGCTCCTTTTGAGAGACGCTGCAAGATTGAGGCACCCCAAGCCGAAACATCAGGGCTTGGAATCACTGTTGGATCACGGGGCTGGGGACAGAATGATTGAAATCCAGCTAACTGCCCGTTTGGGGAGCCTCTGACAACATCGGTTACAACTTTTAATATGCTCATTTCCCACCCCCGTCCCCCCTCCCCCAGAGAATCAGGGTTAAGGGTACAGGCAGCGTCCCTCCCCCACTTCCTGCTAGGCGGAGCCAGCTCGCTGCCATCCAGTGCCAGTTCACCTTTCCTCCTGAGGCACTCATTTAGGCAGGGAGCAGCTGGTTCCCCAGGAGGAGCATTGCTGAACCCCACATAAGTCAGCAGCCTGACTTTTTCTTCCTGCAGCTAATCTCCCTGCAATGCACTAACTTGCAGTCCCAGCTTAGAAACTTTTCAGACAGTTGACTATTAGCAGCTACAGCTTGTTTCACGGGACAACACCTTCAAGAGGGGTCAGCATACCACCCAGCCTACCGCCCTGTTTACATGAGCTAAGTATGGTTTATGCAACATTTAAAAATGATTATCGAGGAGTAGGGGTAGAGAATTTGCATGCTAAATAAAATGTTTTTCAGTGCTATGAATAAAATTATATTTTTTTCCTTACAGAGTGTTTATGACTGTTTTCATGTCTTCAAAGCAGAGCTCAGGGGCCACCGGTGCTACCGCCTGTGGGGCTGGGGGTGGCAGGTGGTGCTGGGGATCAAACCCAGGGTCTCATGCATGCAAGGCATGTGCTCTAGCCCTTTACCAGTACTAGGTTCATCTTTGACTGCTGTTTTAACTTTAAGAGCAGTCAGCTGAGAGAGGCTTTCTTTTTAAGTTATTGATGCAATGGATAACAAGGGGAAAAATTGTTTCAGATGAATCCATTTATTTATATGTCACGTGCTTTAGATGCACATTAAAATAAACATGAAGGGAAAGGCCCAGGGATGTAGCTGAGAAGTAGAGCATTTGCCTCGCTAGTGCTGACACCTCAGGGTTGGATCCCTGACAACACAGAACAAAAGCAAGCCATACGCTGGGAAAAGGTATTTTCTGCAAATCCACATTGTACTGTAGCCCCCGCATTATGTGACGAGCTTCTACAGATAATGAGATACAGAAAAATTATCGATTGGGGTTTGTGTAGATGCTGGTAAAATCATCCCCTCAACACAAAGTTTCCCTCTAACACAAAGTCTAGAATTGGCTGCCCACAGCTGACCCTGGCTGTTACTTTTTTCTGCTCCAGATTCCTCTTCTGATTTGCACTTACTAGATCATCTCTTGCTTCTGAATGGCTGCTGGAGTTGGAGCTATTCTATTTGCATTTCAAGCAACACAAAAAGAGAAAATGAGAAGAAAAAAGGCGACCACAACTCAGGTGAACCAGCAAAGTAGGATACTTTCCCAAAGGTCTAAAGAGGAGACTGGAGGGATAATACAGCAGGAAGGGCACTTGCCTTGCACATGGCTGACCCAGGTTCAATCCCCAGCATCTCTTTTTTTTTTATTAGTGAAGCACCATGAGATATAGTTGTAGATTTACAAATCTTTGTGTTTGGGTTTCGGTCATACAATGATCAAATACCCATCCCTTCACCAGTGCCCATTTTCCACCACCATGGATAATATCCCTCCCACCCCCATCCCCCCCATCCCACCCTGCCTCTGTGGCAGGGCATTCCCTTTTGCTCTCTCTCTCCTTTTGGGTGTTGTGGTCTGCAAAAGAGGCATTGAGTGGCAAACATGTTCAGTCCATAGTCTACTTTCAACATGCATCTCCCCTCCTGGGAGGATCCTCCAAACACCCTTTATTTGGTGCTCCCTTCTCTGTCTGAACTGCCCTTTCCCCTAGAATACCCGATGCTGGCGCGGATGTGGCGAGAAAGGGACCCTCCTTCACTGTTGGTGGGAATGCCGACTAGTTCAGCCCTTTTGGAAAACAGTATGGACGTTTCTCAAAAAATTAGAAATTGAGCTCCCATTTGACCCAGCAATACCACTCCTGGGAATATATCCCAGAGAGGCAAAAATGTGTAGTCGAAGTGACATCTGCACTTGTTTGTTCATTGCAGCACTCTTTACAATAGCCAGAAACTGGAAGAAACCTGAGTGCCCAAGAACAGATGACTGGTTAAAGAAACTTTGGTACATCTATACAATGGAGTACTATGTAGCTCTTAGAAAAGATGAAGTCATGAAATTTACATACAAATGATACAATATGGAAAGTATCATGCTAAGCGAAATGAGTCAGAAAGAGAGGGATAGACATAGAAAGATTGCATTCATCTGGGGGATATAAAGCAACAAAATATGAGATTAATACCTAAGAATAGCTGAGATCAACACCAGGAGGATTACTCCATAGCTTAGAGCCCAGCATCTCTTATGGTCACTTGAGAACCACTAGGAGTGATCCAAGGAGTAAGCCTGACAGTAGAGCCAGGAGTAAGCCCTGATGACGCTGAGGTGTGACCCAAGAAATAAACAATTGCAACAAAGAGTGTCCTAACAACACTTGTGCATCTATCCCATTGGCTTAAGGACATTAATGACATGACCCACCTAAATGCAAGAATTAGCAAGGGAGAGCAAAGGAGGACAAGCGTTTGGGAAAATAATAATGTTGCAATCTGATCAAGTGGAAGGTTCATGTACTCTGAAATACCATGATCCTGCTCCAGGAGCGTGACCTTGGGGGAAATTCTTGCACACATATCTCAGGAGATAGGCATAAGAATATTCACAGCATCTCTGTATGATAATCAAAAGCTGTAAAAATCATCAAGAAGTCCACCAATACTGAATGGAGAAATAAAATGTTTTTTTCTCTTACTTTGATATTAAATGGCAAGTTTAATTAGAGAAAAATTAACCTGTAGGCACACTTCTGTTTTTGTTGTTGTTGTTGTTTTAGGAGCCCACATTGGAGATACTTGAGCCTACTCATGGGCTAGAGCGATAGCACAGCGGTAGGGCGTTTGCCTTGCACGCAGGCAACATGGCCGACCCGAGTTCGATTCCTCCACCCCTCTCAGAGAGCCCGGCAAGCTACCGAGAGTATCTCACCCCCACGGCAGAGCCTGGCAAGCTACCCGTGACGTATTCGATATGCCAAACACAGTAATAACAAAGTCTCCAATGGAGGCGTTACTGGGCCCGCTCGAGCAAATCGATGATCAACGGGAGGGCCTTTACCTTTACCTTACCTTACTCATGTTCAATATTCAGGGACCATTTCCATTGTCCTGAGCTAGGAAGCAACCCCCACCCCACACTCCTGAGCCTGGCCTAGCTCCTGAGCACTGCCTGGTGTGACCCACAAATAAACAAACAAAACACAGGAGCAGACATGCAAGATGCTACAATAGATTGATGTAAACCTTTGCTCTCCTCTTTAGAAAAACATCATTTCTGGGACAAGACGAGAAAACAAAATTTCATCATCGCATCCCTGAGATGTTGTAATTATGCCTTTTTATCTGAAGTTGTGAAACTTAAGGTTCAAGAAACTAATTTCCCTCAGACACAGATCTTAGCACTGTGTTGTTTTTGAATCCCGCTCTTATATTTATTTGCTTTTCTGACCCCACATTGTACTGCTTTAAAATGTTTTCCATCCTAGGATTTGGAGAGCCCTTGATAGAATGCCCTTCCCTCCAAATTTCCTTTCCCAGCAACCTAAAATCTCACAAGGGTTAGGGTTTTTAAGAACAGACCAGGTCAAGGTATCCCACTAGCTGTGGTTGCTGTCAGGAATCTCTTGGGGTGGGGGTTACTTTATTCTGAATGTTTCCTTTGAGCAGTTGAGAAAATAGGAGCCCAAATAAATAGCTAGTGAAAAAGAGGGTGGAGGACTCTCTCCATCAGTGCTCCATGAACACACGATCACTTGGGGCAAACTAGGAGACTGACAGGGACTAAAGTGGGGGCTTCATTCCTGACAAGCACCCTGGAGAGAAGGA